CTCAACTCAATAAATTCTTGAGCTGCCAATGTTGTCGTTGTTATCGGACGATGTACAATATCGCTTCATGAGGATAACAAAATGTCAATAAAGTATTAAAGCAGTAAAAGTGTTGCTGTTGTTGCCGTTGCCGTTGTAGCCATGCATGTGGATCCTTGCCGGGTGTGCTTCTTTTTGTGTCTTTGCGAAATGCTGTTTGCTTGTATTTACGAGCAGCGACTCTTGTAGCCAAAGTGGGCGTACAACCGTATGGGCGTCACATCGAATTGTTGCCAATTGGTTTATGCTGCCGCAGCAGACAACAGCATATTAGAGTGCCATAAATAATGTTTAAATGGAATTATAAGCATAAAGAGCACTTTATTGCCCTTTGCCGTCGAAGATAAATTTCGCTGTTCACATTCTATTTACATTCGAATGCTACTACTAACACTCCAAATGAATGTTAATTGTAGTGAGCATTTCTTCTACTGAAATATTTTTAGTTTAGTGGCACTCAAATGACCATAATATTGCCAATTACAATGGCACTCTTGGCGGCGGTCATAATGGCTTGGCTATGAACTGAACGCTCGAGCCGCACAGTTGACGTGGGTCAATTTGAGTTGGGTAAACATTCATAAATATTTTATTATGCTTCTTAATGTGCTTCATTAACTTAAATAAATTGGAAATTTAAAGCATTTAAATTATAATTTTCCATAAGATACACATTTATACTAGATACAATACTCTATTTTTTCACTTGGATTTCGATTCATATTATTTGCAATTTTAAGTCAATTTGTCACTGGCAAACATCAATCATATTTGGCGGCTCAACACCTTTTTTCCTTGTGGTCTGGCTGCGCCATGTCAGGGTTTTAGCTCCCGCCACCCGCCACCCGCCACCCTACAGTCTACTTTTTCCTTGCTTTTTACGTACAAAAGCTATTAAGAGAAATAACAAAAACAAGGATGTAGGATAATATTGAAAAAGGAGTTGAATTGATGGTTTTTCCGTACGATTTTGCATTTTTAATAAAGTCAAATGGAAATATGCTATCCTTTCAATATGTTCATTTTTCAATACTTTTTATGGTCGGGTTGTCTGTCTGAGTCATATTTTGCAGTATTGACATTGGAACGTCCATGCTCTGATAGGTTTCAGTCATAAAAATGTAATGAAAAGTAAATTTTCTCTTCTGAAAAGCTAACGGTCTTAGTGCTTATGCGGGCAAAGCATGGACGGAAGAACACTAAGTCAATTTACTTAATACTTTGAAGAAGGTTTGGATTAAAGTTTTTCTGGCAAGTGCTTGAAACAATGCCCTCTTAAATCCTATAAGCAGTAGATGAAGCTTAGAAAAAATTATTAAAAATTTTTAAGACGAATAAATATTAAATTTCTAAAGTTTATGCAAACAATTGATTAATACAATATGAAGAGATGTAAACATGATATTAGCTTATGAAAAACAGCTACATTTAATGAGTTAATGGATATGTTGATACTACTTTATCATCTAAATAAACATTATCGCAAGTCCTCTTTGCCGATGATATGGATTAGAAAAAATTGCACACCTTGTATGGCAATAAAAGTGTCCTTCTTGACTGTACAATATATACTGATCTTTCTACAGTCAAAGAAAGATTTGATGCAGAATTGTTTAATGATAACATCAGAGCCTCGGTGGGACTGTGTATATAACCCATTGTCTTCCACGTTAAAGTTCATGCCATTGAAGTCTGCATCCGAGTCAACTATATAAAAAGATTAAAAGGTTAACACATCTGTAGCTTTATTATTTATAAAGAGAAAATCAAAATATTATCCTCCTGAAAGTTCTCTTCAGAAATCTTGACAGATCTGCTGCAACTGACAAACAAAAATAGAGTGGTGGTTTGCTGGACTCCTGTCACACTCGAATCAATATCAATTAATCTACAAATAACCTTGCAAGAACTGGATTCACCATTCAATTTAATAGACCAGATACTTACTGTGGAATAAGTTAGTCCAGAGCAAGTATTTGTCAAAAAGAAGTGGATTGTAACGGAACATACTCGGTATTGTTAATATATGTAATTGCAATGTTAAAAGCTATATCGTTCTTACAACAAAGGTAAGACGTTCTTTCTCCAAACAACAAAGTAGATGCTGGAAGCAAGTTCTCTTATATACCACCATGACCTCAACAAGATGGATCTATTTTAAAAAACTAGAATATCGGCTTTGCTTTAAAGCAGATGATATTTCTGATGAGTTTCTTTGAGATTGTCCGAGTTGATTTGTGTGAAAAAAGAAAACAGGACCAGAGGTTATAATGTCTAGCTTATATTTAAAAATTCTCAGATGGAGACGTTTTGGCCGTTACTCGGTGAGATAAATATTGCTGGTACAAAAGATATCATATCGTGGCAGTGTATTGATTTCCTGAGAGACAAGTACACTGGTGATTTCCATCTCTTTCTTAAAGAGAATTTTCTTAAAACTAAAACAAGAAAAAAACACACTGAATTGATTTTGATTTAATTCATATTAATTACAAAGAAAACTCCCGTACCTCGTCCTCATTTGAAGTTAGTGTGTAACTTAACTGTATGAAATACATTGAAATAAAATCAACTTAAGTGCTGATTAAATGCTGATGCACTTTAAAAATAAGGACAAAAAGAATGCACAATTAAAGTGCTAGTTAATAGCAACAAAGAAGTAAAGTATTAGTTAAAACTGCCAGCCAACAGCACTATATACAAACGTTTTCATTAGAGATAATAAAGAAAAACTCTCTACACTTTTTCCTACCTAGTTTCGAAAGTAGAGCCTATGGAGTTCATGTAGTGGACACAGTAATTTCATCCTTAACCACAATTTAATTTTCAAATCTGTCTATCTGTGGCCAAACAACTTCCATTGATTGTTGTTTAGTGGATGTGTATTCTTAAATGTTGTGCACAACTCTCCATTCACATTTAATTTCAACTTCTCGATGAAAAGTGCTAAAAGGTATCCTATGAAAAACAAATTAGAACTGTAAGAGTAGAGTGAAGATTGGCTTTAGTTAAAGTCTGTATTAAATTCCTTCGAATTCATGGTTTTTTCTTTCGGTTTTGTGGAGCTGCTCTACGCATTTTATTTCGAGTTGTACTTTTGAGTGCTTTTTGTTATTAGCAGATATTGCTGGTGTTGTGTTATCGTCATATGTACTTCACAGGCACTCGAACCTGTTCCCTTTTCAAACCTTTACTAATGTTCTCGATGTTGAAGCATCATCGAAGGGGTCCGTTTGATTATCAAAGTCTTTTTTGTATTTGTTGTTGTCAGACAAACCTAATCCATATGCGTTCAAAGTGCTGCTAGGTACTTCGTAACGAGAAATTTTTGCTCCTCTTTTTGTTTTCAGTACCAAAGCAGAATTGGCTAAAGCAAAAATAAAAAGTAAAGGATACAAAAATGGCGTACAAGCGGAAGTGTGTAAAGTGTGGCCTTTAAATATAAAACCAATTCAATATGTAATCGACAAAAAATTTCACGTAGCCTCTGAGCCATGCATGCAAAAGACTTCATCCAACCACTGGCGCAAAAGGAAGAAGGATAAGAACTTATGTTGTGATGGCATTTTCATATACAGGGTCACTCCATTTGCTCAGGAAATCAGTATTAAAAGAATAAAAAAAATTCGTAAATATATTTATTTATTTTTGTTTTTTAAAGTATCATTTATACTAAGGAAAATATCCAAATACTCTTAATTAAACTATATATAAACTTTTTATACTTCTCTACTTTTACACCCCTTAAAACTCTAGTATTTAGCTAGTAGCACTCTTATTTTTCCACTTACATTTTTATTTTAGGTTTAATGCAACTTATTTTCTTTTCATCCATAAAACGTAACCAACTTCAGATATTTCACTTTGATAACCAAAATTGTGATGATTTTGCGATATCAACACTTTTATGAAAATGTTTTGCAATCCGCAAACCTTTGAAACCCTCCAAGAGAAGAAGAAAAAACTACTAAAAATAAAGTCGTTAAAAATAAATGCTGAAATGTGTCCGAACATATTAAAGTAACCATTTACAGCACTCCGCAACGGTTTAGTAGTAACTGAGAGAGGATACGGATGTACTGTATTGTGGCTGAGGGGAAGACGGGTTCACTGATTGCCAATAGCGTGCTAAGCTATCAAAGAGGGGATTTTCACACGACATGTACTTGTTACTGTCAAAGTTTGTTGTCAGTTTGCACAATCAATTGAATTTTTTCTCGAATTTGTAAATATTTGCAGGACGACAGTGGAGGATAAAGGAAAATTTAGATTATTTCGAAAAGTTTCGGTTAAATCAGACACAAAAGTTCCGATTGCTATTTAAGGTGAATGAATCAATCAGGAAATTTGTCAACTCGGTACAGAATTGTGGAGGAATGCATTGAACAACTCAATTTTAACAAAGGAAGAATGTTTGAGCATTCCAAAAAAAGTGGAATTTCTATGTTATTTTTTGTAATCTCATTTATTAAAAACTAAAATATGTCCTTGTGGAGAATATTAATACATAGTTGAAAGATATTAGTAAAGAAAAACTTCCATAATTTTAATATATCTCCATATACAAGCTTATTAGAACATTATATGCGATGTAAAACCAAACACCTATCTTTTCGGAAATGCCTACAATTAAAGATTAAAACCTCAGTTTTATTACGGTTTTTGAAGTAAAATTTATTTAAAATTTTTTATTGATTAAAAACTTCATTCCCAAATTAAAACAAGGTTCAGATTATATCAGAGTTTAAATACTCCATGCAGAGATTTTTCAAACAAATTTTTTCATATTCAATTGTGCATAAATTTGCCCGGTTTTCAACATAATCCTCTGTCGTATTCTGTGAACAAAACTTCTAGAAAAAGATCCAGTACTTTTGTACGATTTTCATTAAACCGAATTTTTAGATAATGTTATCATCAAAGAATGAAGGAAAAATAATAAATTTTCAAGCAAATTACGTATGGCTCAAAAACGGACTGTGGAGCAAGAATCTTTGGGTTATTTGCAGATATAAACCACTCCCTTAAGCTACCTAATGAGGCTACGGATTAAAGTTTTAGTAATAAAGGTCGCACATCGGCTAATTCCAAGTCACATCAAGGACAGTTGTTGCCAATATTATTGAATTTTATATATTTATATTTTTATTTTTATTTAACTTTTATATTATATTTTATTATTTATTATCTTATTGTTGCTAAGCGGCAATCAAAGCAAATCAAAGGATATAGAGAGGTAATTGATGAGCTAAGCCGGCTAGCTGACATTACAATCACCTGGGTTCTTGAACAGAGGAACATTATTTTTATTATTATGTTTGCCAATATCGGCGAAATCTGTGAAAGAAGCATATTCGTTCTATCGAGTTAATCTGTTCAGTTTTATAAAGTAATAAATTATTTCATAAACTGAATACAATAAAACACGATCTATATGTTTAATAGATAAAACGATATAATAAATAAATATATATATAGTCAGTGTATTTCTGATGTAGTCTCTAATTATTTTACAATCTTAAGTCGCTTCTTGCGTCATAATTTTAAATTTTCCCAATACCAATAATATGTTAGTTCTTCAAACGAGGAGAACAACCTTTGCACAGATTTAAGAAACTCACTGAAATCCAATTAATTAATCATTATGTACATAATTTGATTATGACAAACTTTAGCACAACAATAAACACAATTAACTTTATCCAACCTTTTTCTCTTATTTTTTTGCAGTGTGCCAATGTAACGGACACGCACGACGGTGCCGCTTCAATCTGGAATTATACAAACTTTCTGGACGTGTCTCAGGTGGTGTCTGTTATAATTGCCAACATGACACTACAGGACGTTATTGTCACTACTGCCGCGAGGGTTACTACAGGGACGCAACAAAAGCGCTTAATCATCGTAAAGTTTGCAAAAGTAAGTGTGAACAAAAACCGTACAAAAACCAAATAAACAAAAACAAATATAAAACACACCAAATCTAAATAAAATCCACCTCACAGCACCAAAAAAAAGACAAAAAAAATACAAAACTTAATCAATTTTCTAACAAAATATAAACACAAACACATAAAGAAAAACATCAACTCAAACAACAACCACAACAGCAACAACAGCAACAAGACCAATAAAGAAGTTGAGTTTATATGCACAGTGCAAAAAATAGTAAAGCAGACGTTACGTTACGTTCCGTTCCGTTCCGCAGCATAAGACTAAAATAAAAGTTTTGCTTTATACTCCCTCGTAGAGGCGCATTAACAAGCACAGTGCACTTTTGCTTGCCACCGCACTTTACTATCAACAACAACAAATTCATTTCGGCGTACATTAGCACAGACAACAACAAACAACAAACAGCAACAACAGCTACAGCAAAACATAATCATTATCATCATCAACATAAACAAACTTTCTTTTGAGTAATCCGTCAGACTTCACATTTTGTTATGCTACCTACCAACAAAGGCAACAACAAAAGTAGACCAACAACAACAACTGCTCTGATAGCTAGAAGAAGAAGCATTAGTTCTTTTCTTTTCTATGTTAAGCATGACGACAACAGTGATTAAGGTGGCTTTAAATAGGAATTCTATTCAATAATCTAATAGCAACAGCAACAAAAACAACAACAATAATAAATAGAGACACGAATACAAAAAAAGAATTATAAATACAAGAGATAAGGAAAATGAAAATGAAAATTCACTAAATTCCATTTTAATCGAATTCGAACTGGAGTGACATCAACTTTCGAACTAATTTTTATCAATTCGTCTTCTGGCTTTCAAGTGTTTGCATTGAAGCGTTTTTAATGGTTTCCAATAGTTAACAAGAAAAGTAAATAGAATTTTAATTTTAGAACTAAAGTTGGTCATTTTTGTTTATGAGAACTTAGTTACTAATTAATATTTAATTAATAAGTTGGACTGTTTTAAGTAAAAGTGTATTTACTGTTTCTGCTGCTAACAATAAGTCTCTTGCTAAATGATCTAATTTGTATGGAAAACAACAACGTTGCTCTGTTGCTCTAAGATACTAGTTATGAAGTGTCTAACAATCTGAGAGTATATAAACAGAAATGGTACAATCGATAGCGATAAACGATCAGACACCCCGTTATATCTGGGAGAGATATCTTTCATTTTAAAAGACGATATAGTTTTAATGTTTTAAACTCTTGTAAAGTTTTACTCTATAGTAAAGTAGATAAAATAATATGTTTTAATATAAAAATTTAATTAAAGCTGAGAACCTAGCGGTTAGTCAACCAATCAGCAAAAATTTGATTTCCCTGCAATCCAGGGATGTCATGATGGATGAAAAACTTAAAAGTTTTTGCTTGATCTAGAGAACAACATTTCGATACAACTTACATCAATTAGGAAACTATATTAACACCATTCAAGCAAGCAATTAATTATGAACTTTGTTCACTTATATATATAGCAAAATCAATATAATCAAGATAAATTTATTAAAAGTATCCTTATACTCCAAAATATCTGAAGAGAATCTACATTTTGACTTTCATTTGCAACATTAATATCGTTTAGCTTCTTAGTAACTAAACATGATTGAATATGAAATGTAGCTCACTTAATAAAGTTGAAAGTAAACTTTTCAATTTTATTGAGAGTAGCGTAAATTTTTTTGCTTTCCTATTTCTTACAGTTCTGTTAACCAATTTTCTTTTGTGAACGCTCCTTTCCCTACCAATTCGATTAGATTTTTATGTGATGATTTTGGTGCTTAGCTCTGTTCGTTTTTACGATGCCAAATGGATTTTCTTCATCATGATTACTTCTGGTTTTTATTTAATGGTTCACCCAAAACAAAGCCATAAAAATGTTAAAATATGTTTTTAATTGATTTTAAATTAGTGGCTCTTTAAATTAAAGCCACAAATGATGCAGTTTTTGTGCTTCGAATTTTTTCCATCAAAAACTTAATATGCAAATTTAAATTTTTATAGGCGTTAATTGTTGTTTTTATAAAAACATTTTACTACCCTACACCCAAAATGAAAAGATATATTATAATAAGATTTAATTTAGTTGTGTTTAAACTGAAATGTAAAAACACAGAAATCTGAACATTTCGGAAAGAGAATCTGCTTCAGTTCACTTCTCTTCACATCGTGTAAAGATCAAATTAGTCAATTGCAAGATATCTGTTTGAAGAAGGTCTTCAGCTTCATTACGGCTTCGTAATGAGTTTTGACTCCCTCGATTTATAAAACAAAGCAGACCATTGGTCCCAGTAGTTCCAAATTATTACCATAATAACCTAACCTATTCCTAATGCGATTTTTGAATTATTAGAGTTCAAACGAAAAATATGTAGTACATTTTCAGAATTAAGCTGAAAGCTAACTGGCTCAAACTTTTTTAATACTTCGTCTACTACCAAGAGACTTACGTTGTATTATAGTTGACACCAAGACGCTAATAGGCGATATATATCTACTAAAGGTTGTCTGTCCAACCTGTGGGATATAACATAGGTAGATCTTTATCATTATAGGTCACTTCATCTTTATCATTAAAGGTTTTGTACTTAACTTGCGGGTAACAAGTGCTTTCTATTGCTTTATCATAATTCAAGATCTTCCTGATTCACTGTCTGGTTAGTAGACTAATTTACCCTTATAAGTGAGTTTAAAAAATTCCATAAACTTTTTCATGGTTACTTTTTTTAAGTAGATGTAGATAAAATTACTTCAGAATTGGGTGATACCAAAATGTCACATATAAACCCCTAAGTCTGAAGTGATATCAACTTGCGAGTGACAAAATGGCGTATTTGCTTTATCATTATTGCAAGTTCTTCGTAATTTTCTGTCTGTTTTGCCAATTTTATGAATTTAGAAATAATGTTAGTCATCTCTTTGTTTATGTCCTGCGAACATTTGATTCAATGAAAGTCGAATATATCCAGGCATGTTGTAATTTCCGAAATTGAATAAATAAATTGAATACATTATTGTAGGGAGTTAAACATTTGGTTTGAACTAACTTATAATTTACGGAATCTGAATTTGGGAGTGTTTTATAACAAGAAAAAAAGCACTATTAAAAAAATATTTAATTAAAAGCTGTTTTTTATAGGTTATAAAAATTTTATTAATGTAAAGTAATGGACAGCAAAATCTTTTTTATATTTAATAAAATTATAGGATTGTAAACATTAGAAAAAATTTTTAATTATGAAAAATGAAAGGATTTATCCATTATTGAAGTGAATGATTAAAAGTATTTATTTAATTAATATACCGGAAGTAAATATGTGGAAACAAAAATATACGAGGTTTACTTTATGAGTCAATGATAATTTTTATAAATAAATTTTAAAATATTCAGATTGTTTTTTCAACTATAACATGTACAAACTTTGGTGAATTTGAAAAAATTGGAGCAAAAAGGATTAACGATATTGATTAAGAACATTTCTGAAACAAAAACAGCTTGAAAAGAAACAAAAACCGTGGAGACTGCACCATCATATGGAATAATTATTGTATTAGTTTATTAAGTTTCATTGTGAACATATGAGCGAGGGGCTAGAAAGCTATCATAAAACAATAACTCTAAATTTATCCACAGATAAGATTCATGATGTACTCAAAATTATCGAAAAAGGTTTGAGAGATTTGTGATATATTAAAAGTCTGAAACAAATACGGCACTAACATTTTGCAAGAGCATTCCCGTGTAAAAAATTTGGAAAAGATAATGTGTACCACATTTAACTCTCAGGCAGTTGTTTTCATATATTCATCGTATTCCGAAAGATTCTGCGTCAATTTCTCTCTGGTTACATAAAACTGTAATAACGAAACAGCAGTTGACAACGAACTCATTATAATAAATCTACTAAAAAATAGACGAAACAATATCGAAACACATAGTGTGGCCTTGTTAAGGCACTTAGATTGAAAATAGGCCGCAAAAAAGAATGTTAAACTATAGATCATTATGCAACTATATTATGAAAAGAAGAATAAATAGATTATATTTCATAATACGATCGAATGTTGAGAACACAAAGTTTGTGACAATTCCTGCTTTGCTGATTAAGTGATATGATTTGTGGAACAAATGTTATACCAATTTAAAAATAATTTAGTCAAAATTTTTTAAATATAATAACACAATTATTTGGATTTGACAAAATTAATTTTTTAATTACCATCTTACCGCATTACTCACCTTAAACGCTATTACAAATAACAAACACCACCGCCTCTTTAGAAACTCACCACACAAATTAGTTTCTGAACAAAATGTCAACCTAAGCACTACTTTAACCATTAAATTTTATTTCGTTTCTAGGATGTGACTGTCATCCCGTTGGCTCCACTGGTAAAACGTGTAATCATTTAAGCGGTCAATGTCCATGTAAGGAAGGTGTTACGGGCTTAACATGCAACCGCTGCGTTAGAGGTTATCAACAAACGCGTTCACATGTGGCACCCTGCATAAGTAAGTCCTTTAATTACAAAACATTACTGTACATGAACTCAATTAATTACTGTACATAACTCAATTTTTCACTAAATCTAACAGAAGTGCCCACAAACGCCAATATGATACAAGCTGAGAGCGCAGGCAACGAGTACAGGGAACCCGAACAAGTCGAAGAAATGAAAAAATGTAAGTTGATACAAAACAAATAAAATAAATTCAATTTAATTGTTTAATTTAAAATATGTGTACATGAAATATTTTAAATTTCATTTCAAATTAAATTTTATATAAATTTTTAACAGATTGTGGCAAATGCAAAGCGAGTCCGAAAAAATTGAATTTAAATAAATTTTGCATGGAGGATTATGGTGAGTTTATGGAGTAAAAAAAAAGTAGTTTTTTTTGTACTTTTGTTATTATTGAAATTCATATGTTTTGTTATATGAAAAAATACTTTTTTATCCTTTGATTTTTAATTTTTAATAAGCATTCCTTTTTTGTATATTATTTTATACAGCAATTCTAGCTAAAGTTATCAAACAGGATCGCGCCTCGCAGGATGTCAGCACGGAGAAGTATTCAATTGAACGTCAAAACGAAATTTTCAAATACGAAATCAACATACAAACAATATTCAAACGAAATGCCATGTCCGGCACCACGAGTTCCCTGCTAGGCAGGGGGCACATGATATGGCTGGGGCCGCGCAAGAGTGTCGAGTGTCAATGTCCAAAAATCAAATTGAACAAGTAAGTGAAGCGGAACTCAGTCTATAAAAATAAGAAAATGAATTTCAAATTAAATTGCAACTAAACGAATTTTACGGTTTGTATTCTTATTTTTCACTTCTCTTCTTCATAGATCATATTTAATACTTGGCCGAGATGTGGAAGCTGCTCCGGGATATTTGGCCATTGGCCCAAGTTCCGTGGTGTTAGAGTGGAAGGATGAGTGGTCGTTGCGTATGAAACGCTTTCAACGACGAGCGCGTAAATGCAGTTGAATCGAACCGGAAACGGAATATGTCAGAGCGGATTTTAATTTCATTCACTTGAACCGATATAAATTTTTGTATAATATGTACAGTTTACTTAAATTTTTGACCTTCTTCGGTATTATGCTGTAGTAGAACAAGGAAAATTATATCGTAGAGAAAATGTAGTTACTAAATTATGCTATGTATGCTAAAAGTTACAAATCGGTTATATATGTCCTTAAGTTATGCATGTAGATTAGCGGATTTATATTAAGTTTATTTTATTTATTTATATATTTATTTATTTTTTATATATATATACAAATATGTCTAACAATTTTAGCAGCAGCGGTAATTTTACTTAAATTTTCTTTTATTTATTAAGTCTTAATTTTCTGTTTGCATTTAAGAAATATAGAGAGGAATATTTGTCTGATCTGAATTGTATAGCCTAAAAAAAAATTTATTTGGAAAAACTTATTCCTACCACAAGAACTGCATTTCGTGACCAGATATCTTTTGGTTTGAAGCGGATCAGTTTGTAATCATTTCCTTCACACCACCTCTTTAGAGCGAGTTAAGAACATCCCAGCATTTAAGTAATCAGCGGGTGAAATATAAAAGCTTACTATTTGATTTTCCAAATTGGTATGAAACTACATACCAAAAAATATAACTATTTCGGTAAAATTGAAACCTAGTACAGTAAAGTGTAAAAATATGTGTTGAAAATGGGACAATGCTATGTTTTTCCCAGCGAGCTTTTCTCAAAACGAAATGTACGGTTATCTTACAAGCACATATGGATAAAAACATCTTTACAGTCCAGCACAAATAATTTTGTGTACTTCGTATTGATTTTAAGTGATTCTCTAAGTGGAGTGTTTCGGAAATTATGTTACTTATAAAATAGAAAATAGGTCGATGCTTTTCATCAAACCTTCTCAAATTTCAAAGGGTTAATACAGATGATAACTCCTCATTTTTATTTAAACAATTTATATAAATAATAATGTTGTGCTTAGTACTATTGCATATTTTACACACAATCAAGACAATATTTGTTTCTTTATAAATTATTGATATTAAATGTATTATATATTAAACAGTGTTTATGTGTAATACAAGGAAAGGCTTTATTATTAGCTAATTGAAAGCAAATTTCAATTCCGTTAATTGTGATCCTTTCAACTCTGAATATTTGGATTTTCCAACCTTTCATTGTAGGTATGTATATATTTTCATATCGATAGGTTTAGCTTAGCTAACTGGGTAACTACTGGCAGTCAACATATTCTTTCAGTTGGACCCTTAAAACATCAATACTCGTTAAACCGTATTGTCAATATAACTAATTGTAAAAGCATTGTAAAGAAACGTTGATAATGTATAAGACATCCTTCAGGTGATTAGAATCTCATGTCAGTTCTACTGTTATATGTCATGCAGTAGACTAGAACAGAGAAGTTGTTATACAGTCTTCTGTTTCTTCTGCTCTGTAATTGGATATTCATACCAGAGGTTAGTGAAAGTGTTAATCAATAGGTAATGTACGATATGATAGCGACTTATATGAAACTCGATAAGCTTTTATATATATATTTATATACAATAATAAAGCTTACCAAAACCTTAACAGAATAATACGTCAGAAGACCGCTTGTGATACCAGTGTTGTAGGCCTATCAATGCAGAATTTATAGTTCAAGTACTGGTCATATGGCTTATACTGATTTCGCATGTACTAGCCTTAAGCCTTAAAAGGCTAATGGGTCAAAGGACCCATTCGGATACTACTGTTATAGTATCAAAATTTGTGGTTTAAACACTGCTCCTATGGTTTTTTCAGATTCTATTTGTACCTCAGTTCTATTAAATTCGAATAAATATGAAAGAAAATATGTTAAAATTTTCTCAAAAACAAAAAATAAATAAGCATACTTTAAAAACCACAATTAAATTTTGCATAAATCCAAAATTATTCGTAATCTATTTAATCGCATTAATTTACTTTCCAAAAGTTTCATGCAAGTTAAAACTTCCTTCCATATTTATTATTTGACATATAGTACATGACTCAATACATATGTGACACATTGCTTTGCATGCTTTACCAATAAATTTGGCTAATGACAATTGAATTTCACCCCAGCCGCAAATCACTTGGGCACAAACTCCCCACATTTCTACAATATAACCGCAATGTTTGACTTGTTCAACTCCAACTCCAATAAGCCATAAAACGTGGTTAAAATGAAATTGACATTCACATCAAATATTAATAACAACTTTTATGACGCCGAGACAAATTGTCAATATTAATAAATGTAATGACTTTCGACTGCGCTTACAAATATGTGTAGCAAACAAAAAAAGAACAAAAATCATAAAAATAAGTAAAACACAAGCAAGAAATAAAAAAAACATATACCCACACACACAGCAGCAATAATAAGTTTGTATGTAACATAACGTAAGATATGTCAATTTATTTACTGACAAATAACTTCATACGTGTTTGCAGGTGGGGCGCAGGTGGGTGTTCGGTTTTATTAAGTTGCCAAATTTGATAAATGCGTTAATAAATTGTAAGAAAAGCAATCAAACGCACACAGAACACACATTAAATGTAACAAACACCCACACACACATGCCACAACACAAATAATGGCTACTAGTTGAAATCTACGAGAGTCGTACAAAAGCAGTCACGGCACAAAAAAGCATACAACATGCGCTTTAATGAAAAATTTAAGAATGAACCCAACACAGCGCAACACAAAAACACACAAATCAAAAGTAAAAGCAATGAAAAAAGACACCAAAAAGTAAAGCTTACTTATTTGTAGCAACTGACTGACTGACCCTGACCGTGAGATTGTAAATCACCACTCCACGCCACAGCACACTTTTTTTGGCTATCAATAAGCGGTCGCTTTTCTAATGGCAATGCATACGTTAAGTTAACATTGCAACAGCGATTGTATTTGCACAATGAATGTAGGTGCTTGTGAGTTGTTGTTGCTTTCATAGCAAAAAACAAATCCAACGAAAATATTAAAGCCACTGAGTTCAAATTTTAAACTAAAAACTAAATTTTCGAATTTAGTTTAGTTGGGAGGTGATAATTAAATGAACTTCATCATGTAGATTTTTCTTGTAAAAATAAATTAATTTAACATTTAATAAATAATAATATTTTTAATTTATATGTGTTCAGATCATAAATCTAACAATTGTGACAGTTTTGGGTATATTCGTTTTATCGATACTCTATGTAGCTCTCAGAGATCTTTACCTTCAAAGCGAATTTAATCTTTTCAACTTTCGTCAGTCTTGATTTTAGGTGCAAGCATTCACAGACTTATATTCAACAAATCAAACGACTAGTTAAAGAGGTGAAAACAAATTTCCAACTCACGTTATTATTAAACAAAATTTTAACGGATAATTAGTTAGAAATATCCATTTCTTGAACCAAAGATATTATAACCAATTAATTATACTACACAATGAGCTCAAATGTAGAAATTCCGACTTGGTACATGGAAGTAAATTGGTTAATTAATATCTGTCCTAACTAGACACTAGGCAATAAGACGGCATGGAGCCACGCTTAGCTTGCCCTGTCGAATCTTCTGTAGTACATGTTTATCGTTGCTCGAAGTGAAGACACCAGAGAATATGTTGTGTCTATATTCAGGCTTGTCCAGAATCTGGCTTAAGCTATTGGGCGCCTCATTCTTGAACACACTCAGCAATATTTCCTATATGTATTATTATTGGTCAGATTTTTAATATGCCCATCCTTCTACCCACAATTACAAGGAATGTGTAATCAAAACGGCTTTCTAAAATAATTGAAGAGAACTCAATCCACTTAACTCGGTAACTAAAATAACTTTCAATTTTTTTACAACTTACTCTGCTTTCAGGCTAGCTTGACTTTTGGCCAGCTACTTCTTGACTAATACATACAAATTTCTGTTCGCAGACAAAATTCAGAAATAATACTCATTTGTATTCGAACATAAAAATTTTGCCAAAATCTAGCGAGTGTAGATGCCTAATTAATCGTAACTAATTCGCAGTTCTCAACTCGTTCTCAATTAGTTCTCAACTTGATGACTACCTATAGTTCTCAACTTGATGACTACCTATAGTTAGCTTACATTATCCTTAAGATAGAGTTTTATTAATCATTAATAACATTTTTTTAGTAATTTACTCTAATAATAACGATTACATTAATTTGTAGCATTTGCATGTTATTTTTAAATTTTTATATTTAGTACAAATAATACTAATAATGAACTTACTATAATAAGTAAAGCAATAATATATTATATTAAACTAACATAAATTTTTTTCGGCTGTCATTGTAGGTGTTGTATTCTCGCTTGCCCGACAATTGCTTGATTTAGTTAGTAAATTAGTTCATTATACATACATACATACATCCCCGCATTGATTATTGTATGCTAGTTCAAACAACCCATAAACTATATATATTCACGGATATTTAGCGTTAATTCTGTGATATTCACATATCAAGTATTAGTATCTTTATTAAAGAGCTATTAAAATAATTACTCACATTATTTACACTGCAAGAAATTACTAAAAGGAGTACATTAGCGCATGGGGAATAAAAGTAAGCATACTTTTAGGCGTATACATGTCCAAAATAATTCATTGTCATTAATAAAATAAAAAAAGAATTATATTTCATATAACTTCATTACAATTTTATGCATATTTAATGCGTTTTTTTTTCAATAGCAATTGAAATCGTAACAATGTAGTCAAGTATTTGTGCATATATATGTATTTAAATGAAATGTTGATATATTCATGTCTGTGGTTATGTATGGTTGTAAGCAAATACTGATTACAGCATGGAACATTACACATATGGAACTCCAAACCATGGATTTGTGCTTAAGCAGGCATGATGCATGGCCAGATTCATTTTTTATGGAAATTTGCAAAATATTGGCGGTGGTTTTGTGGTTTGCTATTAGTATACCAAGGGGGTGGTGTGTTGTGAAGCTGTAGTGATGAGTTCGTTTCTATGCAAATTAAAAATGTGTATTAAATGTATTACCATACAAATTAGCAGCAAGAAAAAAATGAATAAATAAAATAAAAACACGCACAATTTACAAGCATTTCTTTCTCCAGAACAAAAATTGATTAAAAAATATTTAATTTACACTGATAAAAACTTTACACTTAAAGCTCATAAAACTGCTGCAATTGACAGTTGAAAGCGAGTGTGGTGAGTAGGTGAGTACAAGTCAAAATGGCATTTAATTAAACCTTTCAGCCGCACTTGATACATG